CTGTTGTGATTGGTCAACCGCTTAGAGATGTCCCGCCCCTTAGCCAATCAGGTACAATTAGAATGAGTACTAGCCAATATAATGTTAGCCTTTGCAAACCATTTACCTGCACATGAACCTATAACACACAACAGGAAAGGGAAACCTAAAAAGCATAATAGGCCCCTTTAAACTTTCCACCCAAATAATTGAAGATTTGTCCATATGTTTCCTCTTTAGCTGATTTGGTTTTAATGGTGATCTAGATCTGGAAATGCTACCATTTAGACCATTTGTGTTTTGTATCTATAACCATAAAAACATGTGAACCCAAGTTCCTGTTGATCTTTATCCTCACCAGGGTTTGCATGATTGTCATTTCGTGATTTTTTCATGGATTTTCTTACAAATGTCCTGCAAATTGGCCTTGCAAAACAGAACTACTTGGTTAGGTTAAGAAACAGATTGGGGTTTAAAATGTGTATATGTTGACTATTTGGTTTATGATAAGTAACAAAACTGGCCTTCTTGATTAGGTAAAGAAACAGATTGCATTTGAAAGTTGTGTTACTTACAGTAAGTACTGTGGTTTTGCAAAAGATCTGTCAAAATGCACTTCTGGTAACAAATGACACACGAACGGCATCCTCCTCTCACCTGTACTAGCACATGATTACGTGTCGTAGACTATAATATAATTATAGTGCATTACTTTTTGTAAGTACAACAGTATGAGAACAGACTGGCTTTCAATCTGTAGACGTGTCCTTTGTTGTCCAAGTGTATCAGAAATCCTTTATTTGTCCCGCAGTGGAGGAATTTAGGAAGTGAATTTACGAGTGTACTTTTATCCTTTTCTGATTTCACACTCGAAAGGCACGAACTTCCTGTTCTTTTAGATTTTCTCAGCGGGTTGCAGAGAGAGTTATGCTGATTCCTCAAACGGTCCATGTCCAGCTCTGGGCCTTGTTGTGGTGAGGCGCCTGATATTCTGGTGATGTTTAGTTTTATTAACCACATCTTTGCATCTATAATCGCAGGCAGCCACAGGCTTTTGTGGTCGGAGCAGAGGCCAAAAAGCGTAGAAGAAAGGAAAGATAGCGTTATAGACAAGAGGGGAAGAAGTACGGAGTAAAAGTGAGTCGGGCCTTTTGTGCGGCTTGAACTGATTGGATCAGAGTTGAGTTGACCTCTGACCTCCCTGCTGGTCCTGGAACGGGCTTCTGACACACACTTCCCTTTTCTTCTCCCCGGCAACAGATCACATGACTCCAGTTTCAGCCATGCCAGGCCGCGTGACGCTGCTGCTGCAGATGTGAGGAGAAAAATTATAAAAGGAAGAAAATAAGTTTTTAGTGAAAGATTGGAAGGGGAACAAGGGCTAGGGGGTGACATGGAGAACAAGTGAAAGCGTCAGCAGACAGCGTGGAGC